CATCTTTATAAAAGAATGAGTCAAAAAAGATACATTCCTGACATGTATAATGCACAGTAGCATATCTTTTATTATTAATAGTAAAATTCGGTCTGATTTTCCCGTGGCTATCGTTGCTATACAAACAAGGATTTTTTTTTAACTGCTCGTGCCGCCCCCCATGTGACATAAAGAAATGCCGCCCCGGACAACACATTTTTGCATTTTTATGCACTGAATAAAACATTCAAAGCATTCTAATGTTATTAATTGTTTCTCGAAACCTTTTTTTTTTTTTTTTAGTGGCCTCTATAGATTCCTAACAATTTTTATTTTATTTTTTTACACTCTAAAAAATGCTGGGTTGTTCTAATCCAATTCTGGGTCAAATATGGACAAACCCAAATGTTGGATTAAAAAAGTGCCATTTATAAATTGAACCCAACAGCTGGGTTTGTTCATATTTGACCCAAAATTGGGTTTAAATAACCTAGCATTTTTTTTAGAATTTACATAACTAGGATATAGTAGTAGAAGTAGTACTAACAGGTTAAGTAAATGTGTAATGCATTTATACTATAGTTCATCTATATTTATCTCTTTCCCCACCAGCATTTTTGAAAAACTTTGCCAGCCAGAGCCAGCATTTCTCATCATTTTCATAAAATTTTCATGGCCACCAGAATATTTTGTTGAAGGTCTTAACATTCAATATACCGAAAGAATTGATTCATTCCTTTTTTATCAACACTTGAATAGGGGTATGTTTCATGAGTGAGGTCATATGAATTCATACGAATTAGCCACCTTGTAAAATTCGTACAAATTGCCGTGAGATCAGGTTGAGAAAATCATGTTTTTGTTAAAGACTACATCAGAACATTGATCAAATTGAGTCCATGAACACACAGTCCAACAACAACAGCTCGTCCTGGGTCGACATTACATTCAGTAACAATAGGCCGTTTTGATTTATATGCTGTTTAATGTGATGATCGCTTTATTTTACGCATGCATCTGCTTATGATATCGGTTGTTTCTGCTTCTTCTTCACATGTCTTCTGATCAGGAGATTCTGTACTCATTTAGAAGTGTAATAGCGCCCCCAACAGTATAACAGAGAAATCCCGGAGAACTGAAAGAGTTAAAGGGATAGTTCACTTTGAAATTAATTTTTGGTATGTTTATGGCACCCAAGATGTAGGTGTCTTTGTTTCTGCAGTAGTTATTTATTTATTTTTTATATTTTTAGGTCAAACCGTTTGTGTATGTCAGTCATATAATGCAGGTTTATGGTCACCACCTCAAAGAGCATGCACAGAGAAGTCCAAATCAAACATGATTTAACGACTCGTAAATGTAAGTACACACTGATGGCCTAAGACACGAAACGAGCGGTTTGTGTGAGAAAACGACCCGTAACCACAGCCACGTCCAAGTGATCTGAGGGCGCGGGCGCTTCGGTCTGGGCAAGCGCCGGAAGTGATCTCTCGTCACAAAGCGTACATCAATGTGTACTTACGTGTCATTAAATCATGTTAAATTTGGACTTCTCTGTGCATGCTCTTTGAGGTGGTGACCATAGACCTGCGTTATATGACTGACAGACAAGAACGGTTTGACCTAAAAATTTCAAAATTGAAACTACTGCAGAAACAAAGACACCTGCATCTTGGATGCCGTTGAGGTAAGCTAAAACATACCAAATATTTATTTCAAAGTGAACTATCCCTTTAACAATATATGTGTCATCCATATGTTAGCGATATGGGTACACGATGAAACATTTCAGTAAGTTACTGTATACTGTATCTCTCATTATACATTACCCATCTGGTGTTAATGTATTTTCATGCTTACTGGTGTGTTAGTAAACAGAAGAAATGATCTATTAATTCACTCTCGCAGTTTCGGTTTGAACTGAGGCGCTGCAGTGTTCATTAAAGAGCATCAAAATGGCATTTAATCTTTGAATATTGCACACAAAATGACAGGATTTGAAAGCTGAGACTTTGTTTGATCAAAAGTGGCATGAAACACTGTATTTTGGTGCATTAAGACTTTGCAGAGGTGGGTGTATGGGCCATAGAGTCTGTTCAATGCTGTTCGTCATGCGTGGATGGAATAAAAGTACAACATGTGTCTTTCCTTAAAGTCAAAGCATTCGCTGTGTTAAACTCAAAGATGAGGATGAAGTCTGTTTTGGCTGAAAAGGGGATAAAACTAAAACGTTTTAATGTTAGGCTTTTAAATTTAAAGGGCTTTTGCCGTACTTCATTTCTTAAATTAGATTATGCTCATAAAATGGAAGAACCTAAATGGTTTTGACTCATAATTAATTTATGGTCTTTATTGTAACAGATGTTTAATTTATGGGACTCCATTTCAGATTTTAATTTAAACTCAGTGCGACATGTGAAGTCACGGACACGGAAAGGATTGTGTGCGCAAGTACTGTTGTTTTGGGATTGTGCCACCGCATAACAACAACGGGACATACAAAGTCGTGCAAGTTTCATGTAAATCCTGAATACATATTTCACAGACTCGTTATGTCAGGAAACCAGTTGTCCCTTTGGGAGGCTGATAGAGGTGAAATCTCATACTGGATGTTTTGTTAGTGTGAAACCAAGCAAAAGATGTGTGTGACTATGACACAAATGGTCCGGTTTTAAATGTGATGTCTAAATATTGTATTTAATGGTCACAGGCTTATAAAGAAACACTTACATTCAAACTAATTAGATGTAGCTATTTTTCACTATTACAGTATGATTTATAGTGCAAATGTCAAGATGTTGTTAACCTGGCATTGTATAATCTGTATTTAAAATTGTAGCTTTTTTGTGAATGAATCTGTTAAGTGAACATCTAAAAAAGCAGCAGTTTATCAATAATGGGAAGATGCCGCTGCTGTTGGGACTAAATGCACAATAATTAACATAATAATGCATATCTGGCTGACTTTTCCATTTGTTGACATGACATGGTTAGATTCAAATGGTAAATATCATTAAAGGAGTTGAGCACTTTTAAAAAAGACTTTTGCTGATAATTTACTCACCCACATGTCATCCAAGATATCCACGTCATTCTTTCTTCAGTCAAAAACAAATTAAGGTTTTTGATGAAAACATTCAAGGATTTTTCCTAGGCTTTATAAGTTTTATAAGCTTAAATGCTCCTTGCTCTGTTCTGTGACGCACGTTTGTGACTCTCCTGTTCGAACTCGTTCATCAAAATGAACGAATCTTTTTCCAAGTCAATTTGTTTTGTTCGTTGAATGAACCAAATGACTCGGAAAAAGATTTTTCATTTTGATGAACGAGTTCGAACAGGAGAGTCACAAACATGCCTCACGGAACAGAACAAGGCGACCATTTGAGCTTATAAAACTTAAAATTTGTTATTTATATATTTATAAGGGTTAGTTCACCCAAAAATGTCATTCTCATTCCCCAGGTAGTCAATGGGGAATGAAATCTGTTTGATTAAAACATTCTTCCAAATATCTTCCTTTGTGTTCAGCAGAACAAATAAACACATAGAGGTTTGGAACAACATGAGGGTGAGTAAATACTGACAGAATTTTCATTTTTGGGTGAACTAACCCTTTAAGTGAGCGATCGTTTCGCTTGATAAGACCTTTATTCATTGTCTGGAATCGTTAAAAGCCCTTTGAACAGTTTGCAGTTTGCACTGAAACTGTCTTTTGGACCTTGAACCGTTTGGTTAGTGCATTATATGGAGAAAAATGCTGGAATGTTTTCATCAAAACCCTTAATTTCTTTTCAACTGAAGAAAGAAAGACATGGATATCTTGGATGACATGGGGGTGAGTAAATTATCAGCAAAAGTTTGTTTTTGTTTTGTTTTTTCAAGGCAACTACTTCTTTAATATGCAGTGACCACGACAAAACTAAGTGAACCGAACATGTTCATTATACCATTGCCATTATACATTTATAAGACTTTTAATCAAAATAAAACACTTTTATGATTTATTTTCACACAAAATTTGTTGCTCCATAAATGTTCAATACAAACATATATATGGGAGTAGTGAAAAGCACATTATTTCTTGAGGCGGGCTTTAGCCCCGTTGAACTGTATGTTAATGTCACATCTTTTTAGTTCCTGCATTCTTTTCCTCCTGATTATTATTATTATTATTGTATTCCACTGTAACCGTATGAGAAAAAAAAAAAAAAACAGCAGTCATTATGTTAACAGTCCTGTGTGGTGACGGCAGTGGGGCAGGGCAGAGATTACGCACTTTACCTTTAAGTGCAACCAAAAGAATATATACAATGTGTGTGTGTGTGTGTGAGAGAGAGAGAGGGAGAGAGAAAGATAACAGTAATGATATGGCTCCGCTCCAGCCTGTGAAGGCCATTAAAGTGTGATTCATGTGGCCATGTCCTTTAATGACATCTCCAGTTAGTCATCAATAAAGTGAGACAGATGTAGGATGAAGATGGAGCATTTTGATGGGTGGAGGGTTGGGGATAGAATGACCTCTGTCCTCTGTTGCAGAGCCACACTGATTCACGACACATTCACACACGCACTCACACACGCACAACACTGTTTTTTACCTGTCAACATTTTCAGTGTGTGTCCACCGCCTCTCAAACGCGTCCAGGGAGCGAGCTGGCCTGACGTGCCCTCCATGAGTAATGGTGAACTGAGTGTTAAGGTGCTTGTACTTTGTTAAATGTCCCCAGTGTCATGCCTCAAAATGTCAAAGTATTAGATCAGTGACCTTGGTAGTATATTATGAGCTTTCAGAAAGTTTTATACGTCAGAAGATAAAATATTGACCATCTAAACATCTACTAGTACAGCCTAAACAGACAGATCATTTAAACTCTTTTTGACAGTGCCATCCATCGTTGTTCATCTACAAAACGTGAGCTTTAGACAGATGCCACCTTATTATAAATGTTTTTTTTTGTTGCCGTTGTTAATGCGTGACATCCGGTAACAAATGTAAAGAGCTTTCCTTCATGTTTTTGCAGGCTATCCGGAATGAATGTCCCGTCTCCTATTGTTAGCAACAAGAACTGGCTGAGGTTACACTTTGTTACTGACAGCAACCATCGATACAAAGGCTTCAGCGCCCATTATCAAGGTAAGCCGCTCGCTTTATCATTGCAAACGCATGGTTTTCGATGTCTAGTCTTGCAGTGAAAGTCTATTAGATTGCCCTCTCTAGATAATTAATTTCGTGATTAATTATCTTTGATTTGAGTATTTTTCTTGCATTAAAGATGAAAACGAAAAGTGCTGAAATTCTGAGTTAAACGCATTTTAATATCAATTATCATGTTGTTCCAGACGTCTAATTAATTCAAGCATGAGAAAGATCTTTCAAAAGTGTGTTGATTGTCATTGACTTTGGCTCACCCGGCTATTTCTGCAATAACTTTCAGCATTCGGAATCAGAAAAGTGTTCTTTTTGTTGCCAATGCTTGAATGCCTCTTTCCTTTTTCGGTTGATTTGTTTTTCTTTTGTGCCGTTTCTCCAAACTAACTCATTTCTCAACAACAAATCACGTTTTGTCTTTCTTTTGAAAGTAGCTATCTTTTTGCTTCTCTCATAAAAGCTCAAATGTAATAAAATGATGGGGGTTGAAAGAAAGAACGGCGAAAAGCGAGCCGCTTTTAAGTTTTATGCTTTGACAGGCCATCCATAGCCATAATTTCCTCATGTGCTTGGCTGCGTACTGTGTTTGTGAACTACTTACACACATTTACCATAAACCCGATTCCAGTGTCTACACAAGCATTAGCTCGAGCTGTTCTGTAGAGGTCTGAAATATGAAATTGTTTGCCAACCCTTACATATCTATGCTATTAACTGTTGCATATTGTTGTTATATATGGAACGTCTTCTAGGTCTTTTGGATCATTTTTTCTAAGTCTTAAGTAAAAAAACAACAACATGATGCTACAATTTAAAGGAGCTGTATGCAATACATTTATTTCCCTTAATGGTAACACTTTACTTGAAGGGGTGTGCACTGTGCATAAGACTAACATGACACCTTCATAATCATGACATGACATACAGTATGAATATGAAGGAAGTTTTTATGCATGTTTATGACAACTTTCATTAAGTATCATTCGGTCAGTTATGACATTTTTAATGCAAATATGACAATGTTTGAGAAATCTTTGTTATGACACCTTCACTCTAAAAAATGCTGGGTTGTTTTAACACAATTTTGGGTAAAATATGGACAAACCCAGCCATTGGGTTACATTTTTAAATTACATTTTTAACCCAATGGCTGGGTTTGTCCATATTTTACCCAAAATTGGGTTAAAACAACCCAGCATTTTTTTTTTAGTGTTAACATAAACCATATCATAACCTGTCAGTGTCTTTGTCATGACAACTTGACATTATTAAGATGACACAACCTGTCATAAACATGACATAGCAGATTAATTATCAAACTTAAGAAACAGCCTAGCTTTATTGGTTAACATTACATTAAACTGTCAGGTGGTTGGCTGTTATGAAGACACTATAACTTTTTAATGACTAATTCAATTAGTACCACTGTAGTTGAGGTCACGAAAAATATTCATGACACGGTTATAATGCCTCATGACAGATGCCTCATGACAATGTCAAAGCCAAACACGTGACATTTTAACTTAATTTAATGTCAAGTTGTCATGACAAAGACACTGACCGGTCATGATGTATTGGTTTATGTCAAGATGTCATAACAAAGACATCTCAAACAATGTCATATTTGCATTCAAAATGTCATTATTAAGCAAAAGACACTTGTCATAAACATGCATAAATCGTTCAGTAATTTGAAAATGATTGCAGTACCTGCAGGTTTGGCCACAATCTTGCATACTGCTCCTTTAAATTAAATTATAAACCAGATATGCAAATTGTTTAATAGACCATTTGGTATGAGCATCCCTGAAATGCTTTGCGTGACTTGAGACCAGTCTGCTTTTATATCCTTTCATCTAAATAGACATGCAATCATCTTGGATAATTGAAAATGTGAGCAGAAGTTTGGCTATAGGATTGGATTTGTTTGGTTTGTGTATGATCCAGGGGTGGTGATTGGACGCTTGCTGCATTGAATCGAGCTGGCATGTTTTTTGACTGTGAAATACTCGCTGCATCATCAGGACAAGTGATCGGGTTCAAAAAGCAACATCTGCACTGCTCTTCAGGACACAGCCCAGCAAAATCCAATTTAGCCCACCGATTCATCTGAAAGAGATGAAGCCCAGTCCATTTCGGCCCTCTCCACTCTTATTCACATTAACCAGCTGTTGCTGGTTCAAGATGCCAGTTGATGGCGATGCTCATCTGCAGAAAATAAAGCTGTTATTGGCAGGGCTGTTTGGCTTCAATACACACAGACTGCCTCCCTTTGAGAAACACAGAGGCCAGTGAACCAGTAACAAGACAGATAAAGTATGGTTGATGCGTTTTAGTATATTCTTAAAGGAGTAGTTCACTTTGAAAAAAAAAAATTGCTGATAATTTGCTCACCCCATGTCATCCAAGATGTCGATGTCTTTCTTTCTTCAGTCGAAAAGAAATTAAGGTTTTTGATGAACATTCCAGAATTTTCTCTAAATAATGGACTTCATTGGGAACCAAACGGTTCAATGTCCAAATGAGAATTTCAGTGCAGCTTCAAAGGGCTTTAAACGACACCAGACGATGAATATGAATAAGGGTCTTATCTAGGACCCTTCGACGAGCATTTGTGCTTATAAAACTTAAACTTTTTTTATTTAGTGACCGATTGTTTCGCTAGATAAGACCCTTATTCATCGTCTGGTGTCGTTTAAAGCCCTTTGAAGCTGCACTGAAACTCTCATTTGGACCTTGAAGCGTTTGGTTCCCATTGAAGTGCATTATATGGAGAAAATCCTGGAATGTTTTCATCAAAAAACTTAATTTCTTTTCGACTGAAGAAAGAAAGACATGGACATCTTGGATGACATGGGGGTGAGTAAATTATCAGCAATTTTTTTTTTTTTTTTTTTTTTTTTAAGTGAACTATTTGCTCTACAAATCAGTGTATTTTGCTAATACATTAGAAAATTAGCAATATCAAGCAGCATAAAGAGCTGATTTGCACTGCCACACATAACTGGAAAGCAATTGACACCGAAAGCCAGACGCATTCAGAATACAAATTACCTTGCCCACGATTATGTTAAAAATATGCGTGATTACACCAACTACTGTAGTCATTCCTTCTGTTATTAAAGAAAAGCTTTTCTGATACAACATTACTTTATGTAGCATATTTTTAAATCACTGTTATCTAAAGTGACGTAGAAATAAGAAGCATGCTTATAGTTTTACGAGAACCGGATAATAATAGAGCAAAAGTGTAAGTACAGAAATATTGTATTTATTATTTTGGGACAAAAAAGTGTAGTTAGTTAGTTAGTAGGGATGCATCGATGTAATGGCCAATACTCGATATCAGCTGATAAAAGCAATTATTTTGACTATCGGCCATTGACCAATTATTTAAAAAAACAGGTTTTGATGCTCTTAAATGTGACGTGACGGATCGCTGTAGGGCCTTAACTTGAGCGTGATTTTTTCCAGTCATCTCTTCAGCATGAAAACAATTGCATGAACACCAAAAGGTATGTTGAAAGATTCAGTACATTTCACCGGAATCAGTTTCAACCGCAAAAAGACGTCAATGAATCCGCTTGTGAACATTTGTCGCATTAATGTCACTTAATGTTGCATTTCAATGTTTCCAATGTTCACAGTTCTTTAGTTATTTAGTAAAAAAAAAGAATGAAAGAAAAAGAGGAGCATATTAAATGTATGTTTGAATACATTTTTCATGAAGACGAGCATTTACGAAAACTGGGTTGTATACAAACTTTTCAGTTTTTATTTGACTGTAAAAGTAAATAGCAGTTGAATATACAGTAATAATTTGGGCTCTGTTGTTCATTTTAAACTCTAATAGTATAGCAATGTACCAAATGAGAGGGATCCCTGTAGAGTTTACAGCATTGAGAGTGATATCAAACTATTGGTTTCGCAGATATCTGTATCGACCAGGAAATTTAGTATCGGTCTCTGTCATCTCAATTAGTTAGTCACATGCTCCTGGGAATGGTTTTCTGAACATCGCCACGAGTTTGAGGTGTTTGAAAGTGACCTTGTACCGCACTGTGATGGTTCCACCAGGCGTTGCTGATTCACTGACCACCGGGAACGAGAGGGAATGTGAATCCTTTATGCTAGGATCAGAGGCTTGAGTATTTGATGCGAGTGGCTATGGGCAGCGAGTGGAAAGAGTGTGACATGGATGTTCTTCAGATGATTGAAGTCCAGAGATGCTGCTGTTTTCTGGATCACCCAGGACGGCTTGGTGGTGCTAGCATGCTAGTAAAGCTGGTCTTACATTCATAAGATTTAATCAAATTCTTAGCAAGGCACTACAGCTCTGACCATGAGCTGAACTAATGAAATAATTCAATTAAATGAGTACAGGAACTTAGCAAAATGCTGTGAGCGAGAGGTCTGTAGTTCAACTAAAATTCAGGATAAAGTTCAGTTCAGTTTCAGTTTATTATCCCCTAAGGGAAACTTCTCTTGCAGCTAGGTAAACATACAGGTCACACAAAAAGTAAATACCACATACACATGCCAATAAACAACACAAACTACTAATTAAAAAACTATTACACTATTGCTCATCTTAGTCATAGAATTATGCAAATTTAGCAACTGAATTGCACTTGGTATAAAATAAATTTAAGTAAAAATGTGGACTTAAAAACCGACGTTATAAAACAACCAATTCATTCAGAAGGCAAAAAATAATAAAAAATAATAAAAATTGCCCAACCTTGATCTAAAACCTATAAAGTAAATTCAATGTTTGTTTGACACTATAATTCTCCTTATTTCAGGGCTTTTGTTGTCAATATGCATAAGTGCATTGAATGCCATTTAATTTGGTCAATTAATTGGCAGACCATATAATATATTTAATTAAACTGTTTGAATCAATTTTAAAAGGGTAACACTTTAGAATACGGTTCCTTCGTTAATGAATAACTACACAAGAACTAATGAGCAACACAATATTA